CGTAGAAGACGATGGTAGAAGTTACAGGACAATCAGATAAGGATTGGGCGAGATATGGTGCAGATAAGACCAAAAAAGTGTTCAAAATGGGGGTAACTTGCAACAAGGAGTTGTTGTTGGAGATCAAGATGAGATCAGAGTAATCTGAGGTGATGGATGAGATAATAAGAGTCCCAGAAGACGATGGTTACGATGGATAAGCAGTAGGACACTTGGATGGTGAGATATGAGGTCAGGAAGATGGCTAGAGCACAGGGCTCATAACCTGTTATGAACAAAGCTTGAAGGAAGTGTCTAGCCACTTGCTGAGAGCAATCAGGGACTGGAACTAGAGTCCAATGTGAGTAACTTTATTATTAAAGAGTATGACAGGTATACAGTACCTAGAGTCCAATGTGAGTAACTAGAGAATAGGAAGCATTGGACTCTGCAGTACTGTCCGAAGTTTTGTAAACAAAGGTAAACAAAGCAGCCACAAAGGCGAAATAATAGAGAACACAATCAATAGTGAATGATAGAAGAATAGATAGAGAAAGGAATGAAAATATAGAGGTAGCACAAAGGTGCAGAATCACCAAAACTAACACACGGGTTGCATTATCCAAGTTGATTCCATTGATTTATCAGCCAGAAATACATGACATCAATGCACACTTGGTCAGTGGCAGCTTGTTTAATATAAAGTTCTACTCATGACTGTCATTAGGACATACTCACAAAAAAAATAGAATATTTCTTATTATGTTCAGCACAATGGACATGTCGTTGGTTTAACAAGCCAAAATTTCACATTTTTGTACACTTAGTACAACATATCTGTCGCTTTGGTCCCGCAATTCTGTTTGCCACTGAAGTATTTGAGTTGTTTAATGCAGTTATACGGGCCAAAAGTATCCATTCTAATTGACATGCCCCTTCTTGCGACCTTGCATGAGCATTTGCGCAAGGGAACCGCATTCAACATCACCTCAGTGGAGGCAAATTTGTTTATTTGCCTGCCTCACCTGCCGAGCACATACTGGATGGCCCCATTCCTATGCAAGGACAACAATCTTTCTCTTTTTGTGCATCTGACTGGCGTGAGGTTGTGCCTGGCCCTCTATCACTAATTGCATCCCCAAATACAGTTTCACATTACTTGGGTATTGATCCCCACTTTCCGAGGCTACAAGTTGGTAAGTCCTCTTCATCACTTAGTGATAGCCAGTTACTCGTGTTCTAACTCTCGCCACTACAGGACTTTGTGTATCCGACAATAAAGTTGCGCGTTCATTTGCTTCCACCTTGACAGGGCAAAAACTCCCTCATGCAATGCCCGATGCTGGTTCCCGTCTTTGCAAAACCAATGATACTATTGTGCTCTCAAACGGTGACCAATGTGCCCTGGGCCAATTTGTAGTTGTCCGGCCACGAGGGTCTCTTGACCTCATTTATATGGCACGAGTGGAAGAAATTTTGCAAGTAAAAGGCACACCATGTTACGATCTCTATTGGACATTTAAGGACTACTCATTTCTTTTTACTCATCGGTCATACCATCAAACCGATGACTCATTTCCTTCACGTACACTTCTGTTCCTCTCGCATTCACAGTACCTATTATAGTACTTAGTCCTCAACAGACGGATCTGCCCTAGATAGGACCTAACTCCTATCACCAATTCCTTTCCATTATAAATACCATGTAACAGCAGTAGTATTCTCCAATACAATTCTACGCAGTTTACGCTTACAAAGCTAAACTCCTAAGATCAGACTTCTACTCAGAAGAAGACCAACTCTCATTGGAAGACCTCTACTCAGAACTACGTTCTCGAACTTGTCTTCGGATAAGTCTCTTTATAAACCTCGACGAACCCTCAGACTTTGTTAAGCACTTCGTGCGTAACACACCAAATGAGCTTACACAACTCGCAGATGGCATTCTAGTCCAGTTGGTATCTACAAGTCAACACTCAGATGCTTATTCAATGCCTCGCACTATCTTAACTGATGGATGGGGTCTCCTACATGTTAAGGCAAGTCATTACAACATAATCATATTTTTACATTTTTTACACATTCTTAGGACATTATGTGTACGGTCAATGTGCAACACAACTGTAACGACAATCTATGTGATGCGTTAGGGATCCGCTATGTGCATCAAGAGCGAGTGCGGACTGATCACACTCTGCATACTGTGGCCCATAGGCACCCATTGGACCTCATCCTCAACACCGCCCAAATGCGAGATGCTGCACATGTGCAGCATTTCCGAATAGACTCGCCTATCCTGGACATTGAAGAAGTTTTGACTGGGAGTGTGGCACGTGAAGTTGATGCACGGAGATCAGGTACTGCACAGAAGGCATTAAGTTTGTTGACAAATACAGGGCTGGGACGCCATTCACAAAATGCCACAAGCCCTGGTACAGTCCAAGCATCTCAAGTTTCATAGCTTTGGCAGTAGATACCTTGCAATAGTGGTTCTGATGTAATATGAGATCCTTCAGCTGCTTATATCAGTTCCTACAATGATAGCTTCTCGGGCCATTCATCTACGAGGTTGCAGTCCAGCTCAGTCCAGCCCCTACAACAATAGTTTCTCAGGTCATTCATTTGTGAGGTTGCGGTCCAGATAACATTGTCAATGTGATTTGAATTGGCTGAGTTGTGTGCTGCTAAATGTGGCCTGTTCAGCACTTTTGCTTCCGCACACCATGGCAAGAAGGTTTGAACTTGCGAATTTGCTTCCGTTGACATTGAGCTGCAGGCTAACTAAGCCCAGCAATAGTATACTCAATATATTCTAGACTGCATATTTTGTCAACGTCAATCATACCTTGTATTAACATGCTCTTTTTTAGGTTTCAATTGAGCCTCATTTCTGATGTGTTGCCCACGACAATTTTTGTCTCATCAATCGCACTGCAACAACTCTATCACACAGGCTCAATCAAAACAATACTCAATGTAGTAATACACTGCTTCAGAAGCTCCAATCAGCCTCCATTTGATCAAGAAACTGGCGCCCCCGCAGGTAAGTGCTTATAGTGTGCTTCATGTGCTCCACTTCCACTAACAGCTCTTTCACATGGAATTTGGCCAGAGCTTCAATCACATCGGGTAGTGTTGACATGACGGAATCGCAGGTGTGACCTGCTGAGGTGCTAGGAAACGATTGAGGGGATGAGAGTGTCTGGAAGGAGTTCGGCAGTTGCTGGTCTGGTTTGAATCAAAGGTCAGTCTTGGCATTTATGATGTTGCATTTGGAGATACTCACTAGGTCCTGGATTGTTTGCGGATGTTTGTCCGCCTGTCAAAGCCCATGTCATGGTCCATCAAGTAAGTCATGCTTGTTATCAGAGTAAACAAACCACTCACGTGTTTCCAGTGACAATCTGACATGTTTAGCAAGGCGGCGGCGCTTGTGGGAAGGCTCAATAGCCATGGCATGCGGTCTGGAACAGGTGAGTTGGGAGGAATGAGCCTTGTGGCAAGACATTGAGACGCACCATACTAAACGGATAGCAGATGACATGCGCTGGCTGCGATGTCGTTTTATGGTAACCGGTGTGACAAGAGGTGTGAGCATGGTTGAGAATGGGATAGTGAGTTGTTCTACGTTATGCAAGTCATAAATTGACGCATTGCCAGCTTGCAATCAGTCTCCGGGAACGACAAGCCAACATCAGCAAACAAAAGCGTGTTGCGTTCACGTTGATCGCTGCAGGCGCATGGCACATTTTTGGAGGGCTCACGTGAATTCTATCCGGAATGGTATAAAAACGGTACGTCAGGCTTCAATGTCTCAACTCCCCGCTTAATCATGCCTTATTCACAAGAAAGCTCAAGGTTTACCTTGCCATCCCCACGTCCTTTCATGGACTCAGGAGTGGCCCATTTTTCCCTTAGCCTCCCTCGTATTGACACTCTGACAACATTTGGTGGAAATGCAGGAAATCGGCCACCGCTCAATCACACCCCATCCTCAGCACTGGACCCACACAATGCAACAAGTCCTTCCCCCTCAGCATCTCTGTTGGTGTATCACAGGAGCACGAAGTGGTAGCTCCACATACCGATGCAGAAATGCGCACGGCACCCAGTTCAGCGCCTGGGTATATAATTCTGCCATTGTTTATTGACAGACTGGCTTGTGACCAGAAACTAGAGCCTGCACAAAGGGAAAGCCTACATGATTTTGTCAAGGTACAGTTACAACATGTTTTGTGCTTATTCGTTCTGCTAATTCATATTATCTGGGCTCACTGGAAGGAGGATTGACTAAACCAGACATGGCCACTCGCTTATACCTCCTGGCAGCATTATTTGGCGAAGTGGCAGAACGGCGTCGACAAGCCAGAAACAGCCCATTTGCTGGTGAAAATATCAGGGCCTTGTTTGCAGACTTGAAGATACGCTTAGAGGACAGTTTCTGTTTTACAGCCGAGCAAAAGGTAGTTGAGTATGGGCAACCGAGTCTTTTGTATTACTCATAGAAATTTCCTTATCAACAGGCCAATATCCGAATTATTGCACAAAACATCATCTTTCAACCCACCCGCACAGGATTCAAATCAATCAACATTGAAGTTGAGGTAATCCATTTGAAAATTCTTGGTACAAATTCTGCTGCTCAGCTTTTGGTTATTCAGAAAACATTACAAATAGAAAAGGAAAACATGAGGTTGATGAATGTGTTTTGTATACCGGCACGAGAACGTCAGCTGGCAGCTGGAATAAGAGATGTCTGTTCAAGTGTTCGGAATAATTTTAGGCAGGATGTCAGTATAAGTTTATGCTGCAATCACTGTAGATTAGCTGACAGCCTTCTGAGTCAAGATTCGAGACAGTATCACTGGGCCAAAAGCTGTTGAAGTCGCCAAATTCACTTACAGCATGGCACTGAAATACAAAAGAGGGCGGATAGGTGACAAACCGGACACCGCATATACATTCCATATTGCGTTACTGGTGTTTGATTTACATGAGTTTTAATTTGTTTTCTGACAGATATCACTGCAAAGGTGTTTCGGCTATGAACACATGGAGCTCATCAGTAGCGCAGCAATAGAGAGTGAGGAATATGGAGGCAACTTGGATGATGTGAATGAATGGCCCAGGAAAAAAAGTAAAGGACAAACAGGTGGCTGTGTCACCCAGGGAGAGGACTTCTGGGGTCAAGTGGACTCGTGGTTTGTGAAGGGGATGTCAATTTGAGGGCGAAACCTGAAGGGTGCCGAGTGGAAAGAGTGAGTGACTTAATTTTCATTTGAATGAAAATACTGAGGATAATACAGATGCATGTGATGTTGACTGATGTTGTTAATCATTGATAGGGTCAATCACTGGCCAGAACGTGGCTATGATGTGATCCCACCTTGAAAGAGATTGTTCACGATTAAAACCAGTGAAAGCTGGGTCCAGGTCTGCCCCGGAGGGCCATGCTATGCCATATTCTAGTTATATAATTCCATTCAAACCGTATCCACCCAGGCAAAATTCCTGCGACCAGGAATAAATGGAATCACATTGTCAAGTATGTACCTCTCAGGGTGCAACGAATAGCAAACTAACAAAGTAGATACATGCATATTAATATGTACAGGATAATCCTGGGATGATGGTAGGGGGAGCAGAGACGGAAATATGTAGAATGAGACGACATGGGCGGGTGTTGGAGCGTCTCCGTAATCAAATTGGGGTTATGAAAACTTCGTCCCAGGTCTTGGGCAATGACGGCAGTGCACGTAGGAAAGCTTTGAACCACATCTCGTAAAATCTATCTCCGAGTGTCGTTAGAGATTCAACCAAGTTGGTTGAGTCAACGCCTTTGGCAACCTTCGGACCTTCGTCCAGAAGTGGCATGATTTCTGTGAAAAAAGGTACAAAAACCTTCAGAACAGGGGAAAAATCATTATCTGGGAGACTTTTCTCGAACGCCCGCAGCGTGGATCCTTTATTCGTTTCGCTCGAGTCAGGATCGTCTGCAGCCAGTAATTTATGAAGCCATCGTCCCTCGTCAATCGTTAAGCTTTTACGTTCGTGGCCAATGTTCAACAACACGCATAATATGACCCAGAAGAAAGATTCCAAGTCATCCGCAAATGTATGAAGCACGGGTTGATTTTTATTCCACGCGTTCAGCAAGCGCATAGAAATGAAAGGGAGTGTTCCCTGAAAAGATTTTAAGACTAAATAACAGGCTAGCCCGAAGATGAGCTACTTACCGAACGACGTTGCTCAAGCTCGCGATCTAGCTCTCGCCATCTGATTGCCTGGTCCCCGTCATTGCTCACGCTCACGCACTTTGTCAAGTTCTTGGTGCATTCGAACCTAGAATACTTGAACATCAATACCGCTTTGAGCTCATTATCAATTTAAGAGGACCTACCGTGTTAGAGGCTTTCGTATTTGGGGCACTGGAAACAATAGAACGTTACCATCGCTGACATCGCGGTGCAGCCATCCATCCTTATACATATTATAGTGACCTAGAAAGGGAGCATCAGTCCTGAGCGACGTCAAAACGGGCAATACTCACCCATCATTCCGTGGAAGATGCCTTCTAAGAATTCGTACGGCCCCACAGCCGTGTGGAGCTTACGGTACTCTGTTTTCGATATCAACCGCTTGTGTATTCTGTTCTCCATCTTCTTGCCTTCCTTGTGTTCTTCCTTCTCAGATTGTGTTTTCTTCCCCCGGTATATTATTTCCTCCTGATCAAATATTTTTCGAATCTCCTCCTCAACCCATGCTCCCTTTTTTCCGTGCTTAACCCTATACTGGGCGTAAACTTCAGGTATTCCCATCTCTCCTTGAATGTCACGAAAAACTTCCATCTCGTCACGGCCCTCCAAAGCCCATGCGTCTTTCAGGACAATGGAAAGCGGCGGAGGAAGGAGGTCGAGTTCAGGGATGGGTGAAGGTTGGTAAGTGGGGAAAACGGGGGATTCATCGTTGCGATCAATTCCTTGCCATTCAAGCTGCTCGGAGCCCTGATCCTGATTGCCTGCTGTGTGATCAGAGTGTGACTTGTGGCGCTTGCTGCTTCCAGTTTCGACGACAGGTTCGCGTGATCGTTTCCCAATACTTGAGACGTTAGAGGTTCGATTAGAAGAGGGTGCGACGCCTTCAGTGCGCAGGCGTGAGGTGGAGGTGGAGGTGGGATATCGAGAAGTGGAAGTATGTATACTCGGAAGGTCTATGATATCGCTGGGTGGATCATCGGATATCTTTCTCGCGTCATCGACCTTTCGCAAACTGTAAACATGTGTGACACGGCCCCGTATAGATTGCCGACGACAGAGTAAGCCAACGACCTCGTAAAGACCCCAGTTTGGGATCAAGAAGTAGTGATTGTTCCGCGATGGATCGATCCCAGCCTTCGAATCGTTTTCCCATGATAGTATGCCCACTATGCCCTTTACAAAAGCGGTAAAGCCATCCTCTGTCTCTAGACTCAGTGCAGGGCTGCAAATTACGCCAGATCTTTGATAGATGCAGAATCGAACTTCGGAAGTTTTGTAGTTGAAGCCGATAATCAAAACGAAGTAACGGTTCTCGTGAGCAACGAAGGTGCATCGTGCGTATGTACCAGCCTGTTTAATCAGCCCATTCCAGTTGTCCTTCACCTCGCACGCGATAGCGAGATCTTGCCACGACACTCGACCATCCAGCTCCGAGTCGTCGGCGACACCGTTTAAAGACACTAAATCTGGCTTCAATGCATGGGTAGTCCCGCCCTTCATTGCTTTATTGTAATTGTAGAAGCGTAGACCGTGATAATAGCGGTCCTTAGGGATTTTAGGGTCTGCGGAAAGGTGAGATTCGGAAGTATTGATGATCCGGTTCAGAAGTTTTGTGAATGGTAAGTAATAGGCACTCTCTCCCGCAGTCGGCTGGGGCCAATTTGCTTGATCAAAATTAAACCCTTGGTCAGAGAAAATTCCTTGTTCTCTGAGTTCTTCCAGGACGTGGTGCGTAACGCCATCATCTGCGGGACACAAGTGTTCCATCACCTTTTTGCTCTCGAAGTGTGCATCATGTAGTTCATGGTGAACCAGTTCTTCCATCATCTTTTGATCCCGTGTTGCCCGCTCTTTAAGCATCACGTTTTGGTCAGAATACCTTTGTGACGTGTGTGTGCTTTTGGCTAGAGGAGTGCTTTTCACTTCGCGAGAGGTCAAATTGGGGGGGCGAGGAGGAGTGATGTTTGGCTTTGAGTCCTGCGTTTTTGATGCGGATGGCTCTGAATGCGGGGATTCTTGACTCATCGTGAAAGGCCTTTGTCTTGGATGAAACAAAGCTGTATGATGTAGCAATCACGATACACTGCGCGACGCTGGCGCCTACATGTACCTACATGTGAACCTGATCATGTGACCGCTATAGTACACCAGGCTCCTCCCCATCGAGGTTCAGAATGTATCCTACACCGCCATCCTGGCGAGATGACACATTGACATTTCGGGATAAGGTTGGCCCGGTTAGGCCTGGACATATCTGGAGGATGTAGGAATGTCTGTAGAATACCAAAACGTCAAATCATACAATGTCTCAATGATATACTCTAACAAGGTTTTCTGAGGAAGTCTGATTGTCAACAGCACGAGTCTCTATAATGACCCCAGTCCATGTCTCAGTAGTATTCTATTGGTACCATAAAAGCCTTCTGCTCGGCAGTGTCTCAAAAATAGCTCATTCTATAATGCTCATAAAGTGTAGATTGCTGTATGTCAGCTATAGGAACACTATATGTATGTTAATAGTAGGTAATATACAAGTTAGAGATCAAACATAGCTTCTAATAACATTTTCCATACCCAAGGCTACTGTACTGATCCAGATGCTCCACAAGCATTATAGAATCAAATTTATAAGTCTCCTGCATATTTCCATCATGTAGGAAGCTCCTGTTGCGTTATATATCATGCATTATTTCACTTTTTATGTTATTTTTGCAGTGATATCCTCATATGTTTCAGGATACATGATAAGCGTATACCTACCCATAATTATGGTGTTATAATTGTTCAGACACACTTATGTGTTATCTGGGAAGGCCTGCATATCTTTCAAAGGCTCCCAGAGCATCTGTATGTCTAATTCTAGGTCAGATGTCAATTTATGCATAATTGCAAACATACTGTGAGATCTCTCAGATATATCCTGCCAATCATGGTGTCCAATAAAGCCTGTTTATGCTTGGGAACAATTTCCATCACTACAGCAAGCCTCCATGAGCTAATTCTCCCCCAGAAATTAGAAAACAAACATATGTTTATATGTTAAAAAAAACATAACATTGGATTTTACAATCTATTCCCAATGTGAATTGATCCTATATTCAATGAGAATAGTAGTTAGTACATGTTTTACATAAATTAGCCTGAGAAATATCAAGTAGGGCAGTAAATAGATTTGTTTTAAAATAGGGGTTATATCAGCATATCCAAAAGCAGATATGTTTTGGGTGGTAGTGTGGAAACTTACCATAAAGGGACAGTACATATCCTTATTTGGGAGACTCTTCTTTGATGTAGTGATGGAGAGGCTCACAGTGAGGTTATGATAGCACAGAAGTTTACCATAAAGGGATGATTTATATCTATATTTGGGACATTCTTCTGGAACATTCCTTTGATGTATTGATGGGGAGGCTCCCACAGAGGTTCTCAAAGAGCATACAAGCATACAAATAGTACAAAAGAGGCTTTCAGGGAGTGCACAAGGAGTGTCAATATTTTAGAAATTATAGATTAAACCTCTGAAGAGGCTCTCAGCAGTGATTTTGGCTATATGCCAAGTATAGTAATCCAATTGCTACTGGGGACTACAGAGGCTGGAAGGATGGTGGGTCTCTGAGACCTATTTCTCATGACATAAAAACCCCTTCTGAAAGACCCTGAGAGCCTCCTCAAAGTTCTGCCTAAGGTGACTTCCCCATTGTCTAAAATTGACTTGAAGACTCTGTGTGATAAGTTTATTAGCAAGCAATGAGAAATGAACAAGTGAATACATACTTGTGAATCTTGTGAGCGTCTTTGTGGTGTTTCTCCCAGATTTTCTGAAGCTCAGTCACTGGGTGCATAGCCAAATATATACATGAGAAAAATCTGGAAAAAAAGCTTGAAAACAAAAATACTTTTTTCAAGATATTTCTCCCATAATTTTTTTTTGTTTTTCAAATGGAAGTGTTCACCAAAAGTGTTCACCATTTGGATGATGCAAAGAGCCATCCATTTGAAAAGAAAAATAGTTATGGGAGAAATATCTTGAAAAAAGTATTTTCGTTTTCAAGTTTTTTTTCCAGATTTTTCTCATGTATATATTTGACTATGCACCCAGTGAGTGTCAACCTGATTCCAATACTTTGAACTGGATCCAAACTTGACAAGAACATATCGCTAAAAGCCTCAAAGTATGAGAAAGTCTAATATCAAAAGAAAGATAATACTGTGGATGCACCAAGAATGCAAACCTTGCTATCATTTCAATTGATGGTGAGACTTTTACCATAGAATTTGAGTTTTAGTATCTTATGGGATAGTGCAAGGATGTCGAGTGCCTCAACATTCTTATTGCTGTAGGTAGGATCTTCTTTTCCAATTGAGTTTGTGATCTGATTGAGCCAGCGTGATGTGAGATAATAATGCTATGGAATAGACTTCGAATGTGACGTTCCTCAGCCTTGATATCAAAATGGTGGTCAGTGAGTTTGTCTTTCACGCACTTTGCAATTGACTCACCCTGACTTGCACTTGATGTTGCAGCTGGGTATTGTTTCTCAACTTTATCCTGCAGGTCATTTTGAGCACTGAATCTTGAAGGATAAGGGATGAATTTTTTACCATTAATAATCTATCTTGCCCATTGTTCTTCTTATAGGCACTTAAAGTCGGGCAGATAATTGTTATGAATGAGTTTTTGTCAATATACATCTGAAGCACATGCTGGGTATGGTAAACAAAAGAGGAGTAAAACAAGCTTACCTTCATGCTGTCAGGCATTGTGAATACAATGTCTAGGGGTTGGAGTTCATCTTGATACTCTGCAAGTGCAATCTGCCGCTCCACAGGGGAAAGGTGTGCACAAGCAAGCACCTGTAAACAGCATGCAGGTTTTAGTTGAACATGTCAAATGGCTTTTTCTGCAAACTGAGTCAGGTTTTCAGCAGGTCCCTTTTAAGCAGAGCTTGAAGTGAGAGTTTCAGTAATGAGGCTAGTGCAAGGGCTTGTATTTTCCTGGTTTTGGGACTCAGGTGGGATGGGTGTTGGGCTTGTGAAAGGTATAAGTGAGCATGGAAAAGCTTTAAACCACATCTTGTAAAAAATGTCTCCGAGTGTCATTAGAGATTCAACCAAGTTGTCTGAATTGAGCTCATCAACAGCCATCGTAGCCTTGTTCATGAGCGGTATGATGTCTGTGAAAAAGGGTAAAAAAATCTTGAAAACAGGGGAAAGTTTGTGTTTTGCTCTCAGGACTGAGGTCTCCAGCATCCACAGCGTGGATCCTTTAACGTGTCCACTTATGCAAGGGTTGTCTGTGGTGAGTATTGCAAGGAGCCATTTTCTCTCTTTACCTGTTAAACTATTACGCTCGGCGCCAATGCTCAACAACACGCATAATATCACCCAGAAGAAAGATTCCAAGTCATCCGCAAATGTATGAAGTATGGGTTCATCATCATCCCACACATTTAGCAATGGCCACAGGAGAACTGGGGACATTGTATTCATCAGTGCAATCAACCATAGATGAGAAAATGAAAATGAATGGGTAAAAAAAAGATTGAAGACAGTGCAAAAAAGAAAATGAAATGAAAATAAGGGGCCATCCTCTACAGCCTGCAGTATTAGCTCCTGCAGCTAGTGGAGCCCATCAGTCTCAGTCAACTGATCATACCAATATCTCTCCAAACAATCAAGTCAGGCATCTTATCTCTCCTTATCTAATCACTTAGTCTTATCTATCTTATCTTATCTCATCATGTGACTTTAAGTCACATGATTACTTACCAAGCACCATGCTGCAACCTCATGTACATCAGTCAGTGCCTCAAGGCTGACACATGCCTACATATATATAAGTAGCCACATCTGCATGTACATACCCTAGCTTTTGATTTCATCTATATACCTTTGCCTTAAAACCACTTGCTTGAGATTGATAAGTTATACCTCCATTAACTCGGTATAGGGTATAGGTTGTTATATAATCAAAAGCTCATAACAAGGCACCTGGTGAATGATCAAAACAAAGACTATCCTAATCATCATCCTATTCCCGACCATTACCTTCATCCTATTCATCACACTAAAACTTTACTTTGAACTCACTTGTCCCAATGTTCCATCCTCACCAATCAACACCATCACCACCTTCATCCAAAACACCCCATCCTCATTTTTTGAGACAATCCCCCTCTCAGCTATCATCCGCCCCTATAACCCAATACTTAGAGATTGTAACAACATGGAATCATTACAATTTTATTAGCTACATTTTTACCTACCTTTCCATTTTGCATACCCCTTACCAGGTTGTGCACTTGCGTCCGCCAGTTGGGGAGGAACTGAGAGCTTAATAAGCCGGTTACATCTGGATAACTGTTTGGACCCAGACTTATTATGAATACCTTTTACCATAGTTTTATTAGTTACCTTTACGTACACAGTAGTAGGGGACAGAAGAGGAACCCTTTACCAAAAAGAGAAACAATAGAGTAACTAACTCTTGGTTGTTACATAGATCCAATCTTATTAATTGGGGAACCATATATTGCATACCTTTTGCATTCGTAAAACAAGATACTTCACACCAGAGCTGTCCTTTGACAATATTGTACAACACCTGGAAAAAAACAGACCCACACATACTATCCCCATCAA